TATACAGCACGCGGAAACGACTGGACATGATATCCAACCCAGTTACGTAGAAATGCTAAAACGTGGCATTCCACGCTGAATACTGATGCTGTAAATGAGCGCAAGCCTCTCCGTAAGGCCTATTTGCCTTTTATTGTGCTCCTTAGGGATCAAAGCATGTCTTAACCTCTCTTTTTAATTATCCATCTAATCATTTTACTCTTACGAAGGCAAACAGAACGTTGCCGAAAATTTAGCTTACTTTTACATCATGCATTTTATAGCATTTTTAGGTCAGATCCAACATTCTTAAGGTTTTAGTCCTATATTTATATGTTTTGTTATTCAGTTTTGTCAGACTTAAGAAAAACATAAGAAGCAACAAGGTCTTTGTGCTGGAGAAAGCAGAATTTAGTCTTATTTTTAATACTAGCTGGATTACTTAGCTGGAAGTCCTGTGGATTTTGCCAAAGAAATTAATCGACATTAACAACTGGAGGCATTGATGATATCTTTGTTTGCCTAGCTAAAAGAATCTAACAAGTTCAAACAACATTTTTTCGGGGTGTTTTCAGAGGTTGATAACTCAAATGATTACGTCATAGCACAATATAATGACGTCAAAGGCTGTTTCTAGAACTGCAGTAAGACCTTGACCCTGAGCCTAGGGAAGGTTAGAATTATTGAAATACGTCCAAATGCGGGCATCTAGGATTGGAATCAGTTTGGCGTTCATTTAAGCAGGTTGTTATTTCAGCTGGATTGATGGATTGTTCGAGATTTGTTTATATTTTAAGAACCATTCCAGATCTCTCCAGACAATCTGTAACCAGCTTTTTGTAATAACAAACGTGTGATTGTTATGTCGGAGTTGTAAAACTGCAGTAAAACATTATATATTTTTTTCACTAGTGATTATTTCAGAAATCAAATGTGGAAATAAAACAAAATTTGCAGACTGTTATGTTAATATTTGACAACTAATTCCAATAAAAAATGAAGTGCTTACATATTTAGGTATCTATATTTGTGGTACTTTCTTCCAAAGGAACAGAAAAATGCCGTTATACCACTCACTCATTCACTCACTCACTCACTCACTCACTCACTCACTCACTCACTCACTCACTCACTCACTCACTCACTCACTCACTCACTCACTGTGTTATAAAACAAAATTAGTGTACATAACATCGAAAGATAGGCAAGGCGAAAACGAGAAAACTTACTCAGTAGTTTCGTCTTCACTTCCACATATCATTTTCCCTGTGAACAGAATACTTCGGCAAACTTTAAGAAGAAATCATTATCATATTCGACATTTCCTCACTGAATAAATAAAATAGACTGTTCAATTGTTTAAGAATTTTTAATCCAAACTGCAGCCATATCAAACCGTTCATCTATCTTTGTTGCTTACGCACAAACTTGACACGAAGCAAACTTTATTGTCTTCTGTCAGTTTAATTTTACTGGGGAAAATTGGTGCGTTAATTAAGATGTTTTGATAGAAATTGTGGTAAAATCTCAGGTCATAAAACATTTGTAATTAGAATATTTGAGATTTTTATTATACTTCGGAATAACGGCAAATTTTGTAGGAACACATTTTGCTCTATTTACGCGAAGCTTGATACAGTTCAAACACAGTAAGAAACAAATAGATTCAACATCTGAAACAAGGCTTATTAAAATTTAAAGCACCTCTGCTTCTCATTCGTTATTTGCTATCTCTGTTTTCGCTGGAATATTGTTCTTGTGAGTTCAAAATTGTTTTTATTTAATGCCGATAGCCCACTGAGAAGTGTGACTACCAACAATGTTTTCCGCTAGGATACTAATTACGCTGGTACAATTCAAAGCCAAATTCGTCGTGAAATTAACGCTGTCTTCGAGTGCTAACATTTCCATCTTTGTTATTTTCTTACTTTATTTTTTTTCTTTCCGAAGGCGCGAAAAATAATGTTTTTTTAATGGCTTCAAATTCGTAATTTAATAAATCGGTAACATTTCTTGATCTTCAGCGGAAAATTAGATCTCTCCTTGCGTGGAATCCTTAAGAGAGGGCAGAGATAAGAAGATTTTCTTTATTTAAAACGTCAATTATCTCAAAATAATTTTAACACAGACGAAATATTTGTTCCTATTGACCAAGTTACGGGAATCTACGAAACTGTAGTACAGCATTTTACCAGAGAAGCAAGCGTGGTGTGGGACTTGATGTTTTTCTGGCTTCACAACAATGTCTCGACACGTCACAAAAATAGTTGTGACTATCACGAAAGAATAGTGACTGAAATAGTGAGTGAACTACTGCTGTTTGTGTTTGGAAACTTCAACAGAAAGTACACGGCTTCAAGTGTGAGAATCGACGAACAACCGCCCCGTACACAGGACAACATTTTCGTTTGTGCGAAACCTGTCGAAACTTACGGTCTGTGACATCGCCGAGGAGACTGAATCGGTATTCTGCCAAGACGATTCGTTTTCGATTCAAACAATAACTGTGTTTTTTTTTCTAGCGTTATCTTAGAAATGGTTTTGTGCTGGCATTGGAAGATAGTTCTGAAGCGTCTCCAACTGGGATAACGCTTTCACCATGACTGACTATTTCGATGAAGACAACTGTTTGAAGGATCCGTCGTCCGGCACTGAGCAGATTTCAGAAGAGATTCCACGCACACTGTTCTCGCCTTTAATCGCAGTTTTGGAAGACAGTGAAGGACAAGGCGTTGAGCGAAGCAGAAATTTCTTAAACAAAAACAATCTTGAATTGCCAGCTGTGTTGTTGTCGCCTTGCGTGCGGACAAGCAGGTCTGAACAAAGTCTGCGAAGTGGAAGTTCCCGCGAATTCCTTGAGTCACCTACGCTTTCAAATGCTTCAAGAAACAGATCTTCCTCTACTCTTGAACCGGAAGAAAAACAATCGGCTGGTGGTCGTCCCAGGAAAAGAAAACTATCGCTTTCTCTTCCGTGTTCTCCGTATAGTTCTGAATACTCACTTAGTGACGATGCTTTCAATGGAAGCCCTCAAGGTGATACCACGTCCCCTCGAAATGAAGGGATTGTCAATAATCATTGTAATCAAGAAGATACTTGTGAAAAGCATGAAGATTGGAATTTTCCCTGCTCTTTCAACGGTCATGGTCTTCTGGCGGGTTCAGTTAGAGACTCAACGGCTTCTTTGAACTATCCAGAAGAAGATAAACCAACAACAGAGTTGAACAATGGTAGAGGTGGCTTGCCAGTCGCCTGTTCAACACCAGATTTACATCGGAATAGATCGGGTTGTTACAAAAATCCTCCCAAACAGCTTTGCTGTTTAATGCGTACAAATTACACGCCTCTATCGACACCGAGCTCGGAATGTTCCTCTTCGAGATTTTCAAACCATAACCTTCGGGGAACAAATGATGACAAAAACACGAGCCTAAACGAGTCCGTTTTACCTTACGAATACTATAGCCACAAAAACAATGCGAGTGAAAGTGACTTTCCTCTGGAGCCATCATCAACTGCAACAACACCAGCTTTAACTTCTGCTCTCAATAACAGGCAAACCTTTCTATTTCCAACTTACGAGGCCGGCTGCAAACAGCATTCGACACCCGATTTAAGAATCAAGGAGACCCTCCCTCTTCCAAAGGATTGGAGGCGAAGCCAAAGATACCTTGCCCCTGCAGGGGATGGGTTGCCCCCGGCGAAAGTTGAAGAGTCAAGTGCACGGTTGAAAACGTCCGAAAGGACAAGGTTAAAGAACTCTTCGTCCACATTTCTTCATCCCGATATGGCTCGTTATTCAGGTTCCAACCAATCTTCGGAAGGGAGCGCAATATCTTTGATACGGACGCGTTCTTCAAAATCCTCCTGCCAAAAAACTAAACAGTCGACTTTCCGTCAGAAATTTCCACAGGCTTCGTCAAGCATAAACAGCTCTACATCTTCTGCCTTCGCAGACTCATCAGGTACTAGGAGCCGAAGCTCCTTCACGAAAAGTTTTCTCTCGTTAATAAATCCATCAAGATTGCTCTCCAAGTTTCACAGCATCTCTAAACATAGTGTGCATAGCGCGAATTCGCGCTCGTCTCGTAAAAGACGAAGACATATCGATTTCCCCGACGACGACAAAATTGTGACCCTGAACGTTAGCGGAAGACGCTTCCAAATCCGAGATTACTTTCTTTCGATTCACCCAAATACTCTATTAGGAGGTAAAGCAAGAAGTCTGTTTTACGACGAGACAAAGAACGAGTTCTTTTTTGATCGCGATCCGGACAGTTTTCGCTATATTTGGAACTTTTATCACTCCGGACAACTGCATTGTCCGCGAGAGGACTGCGTCCAGTCTTTTTTGGACGAAGTGGATTTTTTCGGCTTAGACATCAGCATGCTTTGCGAGTGCTGTTGGTGCGACACGTTTCAAGTGGCACATGAACGGTTAACAAAACGGCGCGAAGAACGTGAAGCTAGAGAGAGGGAGGCTGCAGACGCTGTGCATGTTCTTGATCCAAACGCGTCCTTCAGAGAAAAGGCTTGGATGACACTGAAGGAGCCATCTTTTTCTCGACTTGCCAAAATCTTTTACTTGCTAAGCGTCCTCATGATCGTGGTCAGCGTTGTGGCGAACACGACAGAGACCATTGCATGTAAAGGAGTGATTAGAATTTGCAAAGAAGAAAACGAGGAGACATATTTCTACATTGACACGGTCTCCGTCGGTGTTTTCACGTTCGAATACCTGGCACGTTTGGTAACGTGCCCAAACCGTCTAAGATTTATCATCAACAGAATGAGCATCATAGATCTGCTCGCAATACTGCCTTACTACATCGATTTGTTACTGAGCTCTCTGTCGCTTGACGCACGTCTCGGCATGAACGCTTTGGTAGTGTTACGAGTATTACGAATACTTCGCATTTTCAAACTTCTCCGTCATTCCAAGAGACTAAAGACTCTTATCCAGAGCATGAAAGACTCCGCCACAGAGCTTGGACTCATAGGATTCCTTTATTTAGTTATGGTCATTTTAGTTTCAAGTATTATTTACTTTGCCGAGTTGTCGGAGGACACGCAGTTTTCCAGCATCCCGGAAGCCATGTGGTATGCGGTGATAACATCAACTACCGCTGGGTAAGTACGATACTAGATTCCAGGGGTTGGGGTGGGGGGAAGGAGCAGAATTCACAAATTGAGCCCCGCCCCGGGGGAAGGGAAGGGGAAAAACCCCATATAAAAAGAGCGGGTTGCTCGTCGGAAATTTTGGAATCAACTCGATCATAAGAAGCACCAAGATCCTGTTTTGTGGGCGTGGCTTGAAATGTTTTCCACCCCTAAGAGATAGCAATTCTAAAACAACGCATTATCTTCTGTCATATTGTTTTCGGCTCAATACCTCAAAAAGTGCCTCAAGAGCTCTCGCTGTAGCCCTATTGGGGCTGAACAACCTGCGAGTTACCCAAACTGCGTTTTTAACCCGTGAAAGGTACGACGAGAATCGCGTCCTTCTTATATGGGCGTCTCACACCCAGGAGTTGAGCATACGTGCTCGAGTTTTCTCTTTCAAGAAGTGTTTCGTCTCCATGATGGACTCGCCAGGGAGCAGACGTGATCTAGATATCTTCTTTAAGCGAAGGCTCAGCCAGTGTTCATTTTTTCTAATAGTAAACCAAACTTTGCGTTACGAGACACTTGAAATGCGTGATTGAAAACGCGCGAGTTCTGGGGACGAGATTGGACCCGTGGCGATTTCAGGTCTGAGTCCTAGCCTTACTACGGTCATTGTATATATGTATTGGTTTCTTTGCTCGGACTAAACACTTTTCTCTCACAGTGTCCCTCTTCGCCAAGGCATAAATTGTTGGGAAACTGACTAGCAGTGTTGCTAGGGACAGCCCTCAAAAGGCTAGTATCCCATCCGAGGGCTGAGGGGGCCGGGTGGGTAGTTATGCTTAGCTTCATATTAAGACCGGAGTTATAAGCGAGATAAATTCTGAGGGGAAGGAGAATGAGTAAAAGTGTTTGAGTATGTTTATTGTTCTTCACAAACTCACGTATCTTCCATTAATCATCACAACACACAAACACTCTTCAAATACTCCAAGTCTTTCGTTTCCTTTGAGTTATTTTCCTTCTTGTTGTAGTTATGGTGACATCATCCCAGTCACATTAGCTGGTCGGCTGGTTGGAAGCGCCTGTTGTCTGTTTGGTGTGCTTGTTATCGCACTGCCTATGCCAATACTGCAGATCAAGGTTAGTTATACTGAAAATGAATTCTCAAAAATTGCAAATTTATAGAGCCTGACACGAGAAAACGAGTCTCGCTTTTTCGCTTCTGCTCATGTATATTTTGGGAGACTCGTTGGCCTCATGGTTAGTGCGCTCGACTACGGATCAAGCGTTCCGGGGTCGAGCACTAACCGGGGACATTGTGGTATGTTGTTAGATAAGACAATTTACTCCCACGGTGCCTCTCTTCACCCAGTTGTATAAGTGGGTATCGGCGAATTTAATGCTGGGGGTAATCCTGTGATGGACTAGCATCCCATCCAGGGGGGAAGAGAAATACTCCTAGTTGCTTCATGCTACAGTACATAGAAGCCGGAGATAAGCGCAGGCCTGATGGGTCACTTGGCTCGTATGCAGACTTTACCTTTTTTCATATATATTTTACTCAGATTTCAATCTATTTCCATTCTCGTCCTACTAGCCAACCCAGTAAAAGGTAAAGTCTGCATACGAGCCAAGTGGCCCATCGGACCGGAGCTTTTCCCGATTTCTGTAGCATGAAACGACTGGGAGTATTTCTACTCGCCACTGGATCGAATGCTAGTCCATCGCAGAGTTACCCCCAGCATTAAGTCCTCCGGTACCCATTTGTACACCTGGGTGGAGAGAGGCACTGTGAGAGTAAAGTGTCTTGCCCAAGAACACAACTCTTGCCAACCTGGAGTCCTTGCTAATGGCTTTCTCTCGTTTTTCAGTGATCGTGGCTGTTCCACAAATGTTCTGAGTTCCTCAAGAGCAGAGAACAACTTTGATCTTCTCGTTTTTACTTTAATATGATCAATATGAAACAGAATGATAGATTTATGCCTGCCCAGAAATAATCAGTTTAAATATTTTATTTTTGATTAGTGAAGTTACGCGCTACCAACAGCAGGGAGGTTTCTATATTGCCATGGCAGCGTTTGTTGGCAAGCAACCGGGACCATTATACCGGTTGAGCTGCACTTCAGTAGTAGCAGGCGTGAATGAGGAGGCCTGGTAAAGAGTTCTTATCAAGTTGTCTTCGACCGAAGGAGCTCTCAGACTGGAATTCGCAGCCTGAAGATAGTTTTCTTTTATTGACCTAAATTTAGTTTATATGCAACTTTTAGTGAATTTCAAGCAAAGCGTCCTGAAATGTAACCAATCCAGTGAACTAATGAAGCAAATATGACTGAACGCTTGTATCTTCCAAGACGTTGACGATTTCGAATCATTGAAATAATGAGAAATAAAATTGTTGTTCTTAAAACTACTTCAATGTTCTAGCAGTGAGATGTACTGGGAAAAATGGTTTTGGAGCCATTAATACGCCTAAACGTTAATGAAGTATTCGTTTAATCCAACATTTATAATCGAACTCCCCGAATAACGTAAACTTCCAAAACTTCGAAAGTAGCGAGCTCTCCGAAAGTAGCGTATTTAGAATTTCTTAAAGAATATCATCTTTTATTTCTGAAAAAGGGCTCAGTCCTGCCAACTATATATAACGTTTTTTGTTCCCCGAAAGTAATGATACGTCGAAAGTAACGACCCCTGAAAGTAACGAGCCCCAAAGGCTGCTAATTCTGAAGGTAACGACCCTCTTTACTTTAGGAAGTTTGTGGAATGTCCTCCAAAGAACAATGAAACATATCTTTTTTTGTAGTTAACATCAACACGAGAAGCACTTAAAAGACTTTGTTTAAAAAGTAATTTATTTAGACAACATGTCTAATGAAACTAATCAAGCAACATTTGATGCTCTTATCCTTAGGAGTTCATTACAAGTGAACACGGATGTGCTCGCACAAAATTTTCATCCTCTACATATATTGTCATTTACCAAGAGAAGATCAAGCTAGGCACCTTAATCTTCTCTTGCATTCACTTAACTGGTCTGCTGGATTTTACAGCATTTTTGAGTTCGTTGTTATTTATGGAGGCACTAGAATGTTTACTGAAGTTGGTCCCGTGATGGCCCACTACAGAAAGACGCACAGGTATACTTTCAAAATGGCGGCCCAAAACTGAAACAAGCCAAGAGTGTAAATACTTACTTACTTGTTAGAGAGGTTTCATTTGAGAGTCGAGATTGGTTTTGCACTACTTTCCTACACAATTAGCTTAAAAATATCATGTCACTCTTTTATCCAATCAGAAGTAAGACCAAAATCAAACGTGACTCGTTCGCACATGTTTCATTGCGCTTCGCGTGGGCTACATGTAATTACTTCGAGTTTTTATTTGGGTCATTGGATTACCTGTGTTTTTTGTGATTGGCTCAATTAAAAACCGCTCCATCTTTTAAAAGTTGTTATCATCATATCACACCGATAAGTTGTCAGAAATTACACGACGGTTCTTAAAGAAGCCTGATTGAATTTTACTCTTCTCGCGCCATATAATTTAGTTTCCATTCAAGAAAAAAGATCGGTGACGTGACGCCCAATCTTCTACCAGCTACGCGAAAAATTATTTTTGCTTCAGTTACTGTTCTTTAATATCGGCCGCGGTGACGATCACAAACATTTTCTCTGAACTCGAAGCAAAGACATCACGTGCACTACAAGAACCTCTCAATGATTTACCACGCATATGACACGTCAATATCAGGTGATCTCTAATTGGTTGTCAGAGTTCTGCTTCCATAGCCTCGTCAACCTCATCAAGAAGTCCGAGCTGTAGATTTGCCTGTGGGATGAAAATATAGATAATATCTTAGGAGCTGCGAATAAAATTTAACGTGAAGAATGGTCCGTGTAATTGTTTGTAATTGAAAAGCGCTCAGTAGAAGCCTGAATTGGAATTCCTGTTTAACGGGATTTGGTCACATGATATAGGCGTTTGCAGCTGAGCGCTCCATCAACAGAGCAATGAAGCCAACGCGTGACCCTGTCAGGTTGATATCGTACCTTTTTCTGAATAATGGGGACAGGTAAAGCTATCATTAACACACCGACAATACAGCCTACACTGCCCACAAGTTTTCCAATAACTGTGTGCGGAACAAGGTCTCCATACCTGAAACATAATGGTGTGCAAACCATTGATTAGCTAAGCTGCATATTTTAAATTGAGTTTTTGAACTCTTTCTATTCCCGCCCTGGTAAAGGTTGAACACTGTCCCTGTTTAGGGTCCACTTTATTACGCCGGAGGAATTGGTAAACGCAGCTTTAATTCCACGATTAGGCCTACCGTTATGCTCGATTTCCAGCCGTTTTGGGAGCCTGGTTGTTTATCCTGCTTCCAATGTGGTGTGGGGCAAGGAACGCGGGCTCACAAAACGGCTGGAAATCGAGCCTAGTCTACCGTCCGCACTAATCCATCGGGAAAACGGAGCTTTTCAAAAACGCTTTTCAAACCGGAGGAATTTGAAAACGCCGGCTTTTCGTTTTAGTGTGGACGGAAAACATTTTGAAAACGGAGCTTTTACGAAAGNCGTAGTGTGATCGGAAAACATTTGATGCGTTTCCAGAGTGAAAACGCCGTTTTCAAATTTCTCCGGATTGGTGTGGACGGGGTCTCAGGCATATCATTCTTGAATGTCTTGAAGTCAAGACCAGAATAGGCAAGAACAGTGCCCCTTTAAAATATCTTTTCATTAATCATACCCACCCTGTTGTTGTCATGGTGACCACCGAGTACCACATGGAAGCTGGAATGCTATCAAACGGATTTGTACTGTTCGGTTCGCTTGTTTGTTCAGCATAGTAAAGCACACTCGAGAACAATACCACTCCGAGAGAGAAACTAAATACGATAAAACCAAGTTCGGAAGCAGATCGTCTTATTGCAAATAACAAACTTCTTAACCGGCTGGAGTGTCTGGTAAACTTCAAAACGCGAAAAACTCGCAACACTCTCAACAAGACCAATGCGCTGAGGCTGTCCACTGAAGTTTTCAAGGCGTAGTTCAATATTAACCCAACGTAATATGGTAATATGGACAGGAGATCGATCACACTCATGAATTCCCTGACGTATAGCCAGCGTTTAGGTGCGGTAATAAGTCGTATAATATATTCAAAGGTGAACACCGCAACGCATATGCTCTCCAGGACAAAATATAAAAATTCTCTTTCGTCCATGTAATCATTGAGGCTTTTACACGAATGACCATTTCCGTGTCTAATGGACGTAACGTTCCAGTCGTCTCTACCACAAGTGTGATTCGCGCACAGATATTTGTCGTCACAAGGAGGCGGCATTGTTTCGGCTACTGTGCAAGCAATACTCAAAGCGATCATAAGTCCTGAGAAGTAATACCACGCAGCTCCCAGACGAGATTCGTGTGGATTCTCGAAAATGTTCCAGATTTGTTTCCTCAGTCGCAATCCCCTCTCGACTTCTAGCTTCTCATGCGGATCTTCCAACTTGAAGACTTTGTCGATGCGTATTTTCCTGGGTTGTCTGTAATCGTCCCAGCAGCAATTGGCCACCGCGTTTATGGAGATGCGAAAGAAAGAAAGTTCATCGCGAAACTCGTCAGCGCAATACTCACTGGAATAGTGTAGCCTGCCGAGCCTGTGGGAAAAAGATAACACAATGCTATTTTCAAATCACAGGTAGATATCGTAATCTTGCGGCGGCACCTCCTGTGGGGTTAATGACTCCCACCAGGAGCCATAATCGGGGACGGAGACCGTAAGTCTTGGGATCCGCGCACACCTATGATATGGGACAATTTTTCTATTTTTAGAACAAATTGCNAATTTTTCCGTTTATCCTGCTATATCTTTGTATACATATAACTGTGTTACAATATTATAAATCTGTATAGTGAATACAGTGTCTAACAAAGGTGAATAAAGGAATGTTTTTTCCGTTTGGTTAGAGAATTCGGGTTTCTGTATTGCCATCGCATGCTTACACCTTTTTTACTTTAAGTCTAGTTGGCTGTCCGTTGTTTATAAACAAAAAAGAAAGAAAACTATGAATTAATGTTCCTGTCTGTATTTCACTTCTGGCAAGCTGTCAGTTGTTTATAAAAACAATGATATTAAAATAAGAAAACTTTTGATAAATGAGGACCTCTGCACAAGTCAAGGTGTCTTATCAGTATGTTTAAGATAACACGTAACTTTCAACTTATCAAAGGAACTCAGCATACAATTGGTGCCGCACAAGACAAATGAAGAAATCAGTGACTCCATTTCTCATATTTTGCTTCTGTTGGCATGAAAATGATTTTAATTAGACTATTACTGATGGCCTCTTGTGGGTATCTCATCAATCACTCGTTAAAGGATCGAATTTATTTTTGTTTATAACAGGTGCACGCGAAGCCTAAACAGTATTCTACTAGATTAAAGTCGTAAGAGTGCTTTCTTTGCACCGTAGATAAATAAAATTATTTTCAGTTGCAAAGAGTGGATGTGTTAACGGTGGAATATTCTAGAATGGTTGGTTATGCATGCAGTAAACTGTGTAAATTTTTCAGCGCAAATAGTAAATGAGGAGATTGCATCCTATGTTGTTTTCGCGCGGTTTAAAAAAGCCAATATTTTTACCTCCCCCATCTTAGTAGTAAATTATATATTCCTGATGCAAAATTTATCTACGCAGGTTCTGGTTCAATTTTTTCCGTGTTCTCCGACAGTAAAATACCACATTTGGCAATTAATTTTGTGAACTTCACAAAACAAGACTATTTAAATCTTCGTTTCGAATTCCCTAGTGTGCTATTGTTCCACTGGGTGTTCTGGTTTTTTTAAGGAAATAGAAGTCTTTGAAATTGCGAATTAAAGGTGGCCTGATTTTGAAAGTTTCTATTTCCAACAAAAATATGGGGTTTTAAAAACCAGTGAGTTAACCGCACGAGGTCATTTTTAAACCGTACTGCCCAGTACCTGATATTAAACCCGATATTGTGGCTGAATAAAAGAATTATTCATTACAAGTGGATAACAGAATCTAAAGCAAGAGGATTTTAATCAAAAAAATGAAACCACAAAATCTAACAACTTTTGAGCTGTTTGTGGTTATTTACAGAGATTTGAGAATTTTTATTTCGCCCGCCCGCCCTCAAGCTTGCGTTAAAGCTTTGTGTAAATTAATCATAAAGAAAAAGAAAATTTATCGAAAGTAAAATATTTCAGTCGATGACCATATGCATGTTGAGGTTCTCTGTGCTATTCAATGAGTAAACAAGTTCTCATTATCTTTTAGTGAGCACCAGCGAAAAATGTGGCGCGTATTTTGGTTAGCTTAGTATTAACAGTGGCTTGTATAATCATGAGTGGAGTTGAGACTAAATTACATATGTACGATACACATTGTACTTTAGCCTCACGATTTCTTTATAAACTGATGAAAAAATAATACAAATGAAAAAATACCTGTAGTAGTTTAAAATGTTCCTGAACATTTCAGGGTCTCTGTCAAACACATATGTCTTGGTCCGCGGGTCATAGAACAATTCTTTTTCCGGGCTACCAAGAAGTGTGTCAGGATGGTTGGCGAGGTTGTCCTCCCAAGTCTCAAACAATCTGCCTCCGACTTTTAACAATATTCTTTTGCGGGGTCGATGCGGCTGGCTGTCCAGTGACCAAACCGAACTGCCCTGGTCCGCTGTGTCCTTAATCATCAGTGTCCAAAGCGCTGGATCTGGACTGGTAGCAATCTAATGCGGACCTGATGTAAACAGATAGCGAATATGCGTGTTTAGGCCGAATTCGTTATTGAAAAGACCAATTAACAAAGTCTTTGTCCGCCGCAGGGAAGAGCAGTTCAAACCTATTTTCTTCCCTCATTTGCATGAATGACAACCTCAGCTGTGAGCTGTGGGTAGCATTTACCGTTAATTTCAACTCAGAATTCCGCAGTTTAGAAAAGATATAAATAATTGAAACTTTGGGCGACTAAATGCACGCGCTCGCTAGCTCACAGAATAAAAGCAATTCATTCTGATGTAAGAGTTCAAAGAGTGATGGTCTGCTAAAGCTGACGGGGGAATGGCTAATTTTATTCAAATGTCGACAATTTTAGTTCGGCCAATTATCTTTTAGTGTAAAAGAAATACATCGATAAACATACTAGCCGCGGGGCACTTCGACGAAATAAAGCTACTTCACATCAAAACCCCAGAAATAACGCAAGAATATAACTTGTAACTAACAAAAAATGTTTAAAACTGCTAAAATTTGGCTCTTCAGTTTTCATTAAACGGTTGCAAGAGGATATTTAAGCTGACGTAACTAAACCAGCACTTGTATATGTCGACATATAATATTAATCACGTTGTCATTGGCGCGAATTAAAGAACAATTTTCCCGCCTTTTGCCGTCAAATAAGCGTTCACAACAGGTGTTATCACCTTGTAAAATTCATTCAAAACTGCGCCTTCTGGTTTTTAGAAACAAACTTTGGACATTGAAAGAGAGTTTGTTGTTAAACAAGCAATAACGCCGCCGAACCATCAACACGAAACATGTTTCATTTCTTTCATTTAGTAAATAAATTTCATCAGCATACAAAACTAACTCTACCGACGTATCTGCGAAGTATTGGGGCAATGCCATGGTAAACAACGTTTTAATTAAATGATAGTAAGGGAAATAACAGTCGAGGAAAAACAAGCTAAGCTCCGGCCACCAAAATGTCGCTGTCGTGAAGTTTAAACACCGAACTTCAGTGCTTAATACAACAGATCTCCTGTTTTGTATTTGTTGACTTTATTACAGGTATCAACATTGTTTAAGTACGTGGTATCCCTCGGATAACACTATCGCTATCCCCGAGCTACACCATTAATCTGTACGTTGTATGAACGCCGCTTGTTGTTTTTGTGAAACGGGCAAAAATAGGCATGCAACGCGTACATGTGAGGGCTTACGAATTAAAACTTGATCACTCATGAAACCGGCGTAAATCCATGTGCGTTTGTAGGCCATCTAAGGGGCCTAACGTCTTGAAATTATTCAAAACGTCACAGAAATTTATCGCATTCTTTCGACGTTTGTTTTAAATATAACCTGATAATCAGTTAGTCCATGCATTAAGGATCTGTGTCAATACGATTAATTATTTCTTAAGGCTCTCAGCCAGCTAGAACAGTTTTCGGGATGTGACATGAATATGGCTGAATTTGCGCCTTAATGTTTATTCAGACAAGATATATAACATATTCATTCCTGTTAACGCGCTATAATAGGCTATAAATGACATTTTGCCAGTATGTGATGTGAAATGACCAGCCCTTACATCACCACGAAAAAAAATAAAGTATATTTGTAGTCCATCTTGACACAATTTTTCTCCCTGATATTTAATGAAGGAATAATTCATCTTGTATTTAAGTCAAGGCCGTTTTACCTGAATATGCACAAACAATTCTGACTAACCAAAGTCTTCAGTGTTTCTAAATCGTATTACGTAATTTTCGTCGAGAATAAAATCCGCTGAACAAAGTCTTTTTTCATGGCTATCAATGGACCAGAAGGAAATTTAAGGCGATTCAAAAACTGGAATCGATCATATAGGATAAATGATTTCGTGCTCGTCGCTTTCAAAACAACGGCAAATGACTCTTGATAAATTTAGCACACTTCACGGCAACGCTTAAACCGCTAGCTCTCTAACGATCACCAGCCACTTGTAAAACTTACCTTACCATTACTTACTAATTTTTGTGAGCTCAGTGGTCCTTAAGCTCCATGCCCTTGAATACACGGCGTGAAGGCTGCACACTGTTTCACAAACAAACTACGCTTTGAGAGGGGAAAGTTATGTATGATATAGCATTTCGGATGTCTGATTGCTTATTGGCTGGTAATTTTAGATGCTACAACTTTGACGCGTATATTTCAGAACTAGATTAAGGTGTTTTTAAGAAAACCACAACGGCAGCGGCAGCAAGAAAGTCGCTGAACAAAAGCTTTAATGATCAGCACGATGGTTGTGCGCGTAAGTTATAATTCTTGGAACATTCTTTTCCGCTCCTTCCAGCGCGAAACGTAATTAAAATGACTAAATTTTGCGTTGTCTGGAGAAGGTGAACCACGAGGGCTAATGTTTTAAATATCTCCTCCGAATTCAACATTGTGTTTCATATTCAGTTTCGACCTGAACGACTAGGTAAAAAATAAATTCATTTTTTAATCAACCTTTCATTTGCGTCCCTTAGGTTCAGTCAGACATGTTGGGTGATCAGAAGAGGATTTGAATTTGAACTGTATGAATTTCAATAAATTCAGCCATGTCGAATGTTTTGCCTAATTTGTGTTAAACTGAATGCAAATGATCTGTCGTAGGTCTTTGCTAACATAATTTATCTTTCATGCCAGTCACATATATATGACGCCTGCTCATCTACACGGCCATGTGGTACCTGCTATAACAGGTGCGAAATCCATCAAAGATGTCTACGAACACTTTAAGTTGAAAGCAAAGTCAACAGTATTGCTGTGTGTATTAGAATAGTTAAATCACGAAGAATTGATCTCGCAGAACCAAAACTCACTTAGCGACTGGACGGGGCACCTGGCGGACACAGCATACAAAACAAAATTTGACTAAAGACAGTATGGCTTGTAGACAATTCCCGATCGGGGGTCTTTGGTCTCCGAATGACGTAGATAAACAAAGAGTAAGTAACTTCTAATTTTAGGCGCCAAAAAAATATTTCGTATTATTTTTTCAGTATGGAATGAAGAACATTTAA